GATGTAGCCTGTCAGAGACCTGTAAGTAAAGATTTTGCAGGCATCTCCCAGAAGCAACATGCAGTTGATCCTGCTTTAGAACAGGAAACTAGGGTAGGCAGTTTCTCGACATCCTTTCTAGTCTTTTCTTTGTATTTCTTGTGAGCTTACATTTTAAATGGGTAGAATCTCTGAGTAGAGATACACTAGGATTTAAAATAAAGTATATACTTTGAGGTTCAAGACACACCAAATAATGAATAATGGTGGAGAAGACATCTGTCATAGCTCTAGGAAACACTGGACTGACTTTTAACACTTTTAATTGTAATTTTGAATTAATATGGAAGTGCATTATCTGTCAGACTTCTGAACTTTAGTGCATGGTAAGTGCAGTAGCTGTAAATTTGTAATAATTTTGAGCCATGTTCTGGATGTGTCCAAAGCCTATAGATGCCATCCAGAAGTTACTTAATTGGAGACTTTCTTCTGATACCGGATCCTGGTTGGATCATGGGAACAATACAGTTCTGGTTGAACCTGTTAGCATAGTTTATATATCAAAATACAGGTATACCTTTTGTACAAGTATCAGTTATGTAACTGCAAAAATCAGTAATGTAATTTACTCAGTACAAGATTACTCCAGTGATACTGGTATAGGACAGTTAAATTTTAGTCATCATAAGTATTAAACTATAATAAGTGGTGCATGTGTGACCAATGGATTCTTTCATCTGCTTGCACAGCTGTTGATGGACAAGGCTTCATTCCCAAAGCTTAGCTGGGACCAGCCTGCTTAGTAATGAAGTTAGGCTTCCACAAAACCTGAAATACAGCAAAGCAGTTGTGGTAGTCTTGATCAGAGGTGTTAAGGAAAACGTAGTGTGAACTGTTTCCTTATGTGTTCACCATTCAAAGCAGCTTTTTAATGATTATTCACCTCTCCCAGTAGTTCTGCTTTTTCAAAATTAGAGACTCACTTGGTAATCTCATCATTTTAAATGCATGACAGAAACAAAGAATAAATAATATGTTTTATGCTACAGAAATCTAGAGTTAATGATGAACCTGTTTCTTTGCCACATATTATTTAGGATAATTTATAGGATGTATAGCTGCAAACCAGGCATTCAAACTTATAGATAGGTTTTTAGGGTGAAGTCTTCAATGCTAGCAGCTATTATAAAGGAAGAATAGTTTTACTGTGAATACCTTTCTTGTGTGTCAGGAGAATGTGCTGTAGTAAACTTTAAGTGGTATGTACAGGAGATTTTCCCATTTTTTTAAATACAAGAAATCTTAGTGTATTTCCATTTACTAATAAAAGTTACCAACTCAGGGGATGGCATGTATTTTGCTGTTGTTGAAATTCTATCAATTTGCTGGTTAAATTCACAGAGTTTTTTAGTGCAGATTCATTGTAAATGAAACTTAAAGGTGAGGTGATTTGTTGACTATTGCAGTATGTTGTCACAGTCCAGTGGAACTGTGCTCAGCAGTGTTTTATCTCAAGTCTGCAGTAACAGTAAATCACGATCTCTTGAAGTAATAAAATGTTAAATTGATGCAAAATATGTCTTTGTTTTATGATCATCTACTGATGTAGGAGGTTTGGGTGGTGAAAATAGGAACATTGATTCAAGTGGCACTGTTTCTCTTATTGGGAAACAACTCTGCTAATAATTTGGAATAGGTTGGGTTTAGCAACAAAAAGAGGATATAAAAGGTATTTCCATAATACAGTAGCATATTTAGACTTGTTTTTAAATCATCCTACACCATGCAAGTCAGGTAATATTTCCCAATGTTCTTACTCGGACACGTGAGAGGTTTATGTAAAAGGCAAGAGTGAAGTTCAGGTGTTCTGAATGCAGATTTGCACCCTGTATACTGTGTTGTGGCACTGACTTTTGACAGTGATTGTACCTGAACATAAATTTCCCTGTGTTCATGTCACATTACTTGGATATATGTAGTAATTCTGTTGATAGATGGGTTTTTTGTTCTCCTCCAACATCCTCTGCCCTTGAGTAGGAAACAAAATGTTAGGCTTCGATTTTTGCCTTGATAGCTGTAACTGTATTGGGGCAAAAGGTCTCTTTGCTGTTTCTCTTAATGCTGATTTATTCTGGGCCAAAGGCAGTCGTACTGGATTCTGTGTTCTTCTTTAGAGGCTACTTATCTTAAATGTAGACCTTAAGCATGTTTTTGTTGTTGAATGTTTTCTCGTTGGCTGCTTCTGAATGAGTACAACCTAGAAAGTGAAGCTATATAGTATTCTTCATTTTCAAGTGAAAACAGTATAGGAGAACCTAATGGCATCAAAGAATAGAGTCTGAATTTTATTTAGTAATAATCTAGTTATCTAGTACATGTAGTCTGATCTCTCTGAATTTTGATGACCTGTGCATATGATAGCAAATGAGTATTCTGAAGAATGAATCTCTTAGCTATAGAAATCATATTGTTCTTGGTAAGAATTGGATGCACAGAATCAAATAATGAAAATATCTACACTTAGTTGAGAGCTTATCATAGCAGGGTCCGTTCTGAAGTGCTGTGGAAAGAAATGCTGTGTAACTTGATAGAAACCCAGTGCCTGAGTCCTTTTTATTTATTTTTTAATCGCTTAGATTAGTCTCTAACGGTAGCTTGGCATCATCTTTTTTTCAGCATAGCTGCTTGACAGCTGTTTAGTAATGTACAAAGGAATTTAGAGATGACTGCTGGGAGATTCTTTCAGTATAATATTTCAGGCTGAAGCAGCTGGAATCCCTTGGCTTCAGAGTTGTATTCCATGAATGCTGCACTAAGCAAGAAAATTTTTAATTCTTGAATTTCTTTTTTTTCTTTTTAATGCTCAAAAAATGTAGCCAGTCTGTGGTTTGGGGTTTGGTTTTGGTTTTTGTTTGGTTGTGGTTTTTTTTTTTTTAAATATAAGAAATGAAGAAAGGTTATTGTAGCTCACTAGGAGAAAAAGTGATGTCTGGGGCTGATTGAGAAAGGACTACTGCATTTGGCTAATTCTCAAAATTCTGAGTACTAGAACACTGTATATGGTGAGGTGATCTTTGTTGTACCATGATGTTCCTGCCTGGTACAGTGCTGACAAAGGATTTTGTATTGACTAATACAGCTATCAAAAGCAAAAGCTACCTTTTTTATGTATATTCTAAGACCATTGCCCTCAACGTCTTTGTTCTTTCTACCATGCAAAATTGTGGTTATGTGCCTTATCACACTTTCACACTTGTGCGAAAGTGCTAGAATTGGGGTTTGTATTTTCATTCTTTTACGCTCTCTGAGTAAACTGCAGTGAGCTTGAGCTTCATAGGTCTGTTTGCTGTTTTAGGAGAGATTTAGCCTATGTTTTACATGTGATGCTGAAGGCAGGTAACAATATGGCTGAAAAGTGTATTGATGCAACAACAGCTAGTAATCAAATAATAGCAGTTCTTAAGAGAGCTGAGCTGCTGGGGAATATGAGAGAGGGAAGGAAAATGCATTGACCCACTCATTCGGTGGTGTCTGTTGTCCTCTTTCTATTCAGTCCACGTAGGTAGGTTTGTACAGCTTTTTAGAAGCTGGAATTTTTAAATTTATGAAGGATACCATTAACCTTTTATATCTTGCAGCAGTTTTCTTTCTTATCTATGGATCAGTCTTGTGTAGTTTATTAGTAGGAAGAATTACAGTTGCTTTAAGTGTGATGTTAGCAAACAAACAGTGGGAAGGAGCAAAGCCAGTTAGACTGAGGGTAGTATTTGTCATCTCTGGGAACAAAGTTCCTGAAGCTGAGTGAGGATGTGCATAGTGTTTTCAGATGTCTGCTTCCTTGTGAATGATCTATGTGTAAGGGCTTGTGTAGAACATTTTTTTTTTGTGTAGAACATTTTTTTTGTAGAACATTTTTGCTTTTAGCAAGCATTTCAGAGAGCTGATTTAGAGGAGGAAAAACATCTGTTGCTAGGAAAACTCAGGAGTGTATGTGGAAGTAGTGTTGGAATTCAGACAACAAATTTAGGAAGTCAACCGTGGCAGGTTTCTTGTCTCCTGTATAACAGCAACCACACTGGAATTTAACAGGCCACAAATATATGTTGTCTATTAAGCTGTTTTCTTAGTTTGTAATTCTTTTAGTAGTGAAAGTTATATAATGTATGGCAAGGACAGCAAATTGAAATATCTGACACAATTCAGACAAACCCATACATATAGTTTATTAAAATTTTGTAAATTTGAAGTGTGCATTGTTTAATCTTTTGACACCTATTTACAGTATAATGATGACCTTTGAAATTGTGTAAAGACTTTAAAGTGTGTACAGAATAGATCTTCTGTGGCACGTGTTGCTTGCTGTTGTAAGAATATCAAAGCCACTTTAATATTTAACTGATACTTTGGATGTTGCTGAATTAATTTTCGTTATAAATTCCTCTTGTAGTATTACAGATATTATATTTTAATAATTTAGTAATTTTGTGGGAAAATAGCAAATGTGAGACTTTTGGTATTAGAGTAGTATGTCATGATGGTCATGTACTGCTGGTAGGAGTTTTAGAAACTTACAATAATGACTCTTTTGTTTTTTTTCTTGGCTACCGTTTCTTTTTCAGGTATGTAAAACTTCACTGAGTTTCTCTCCTTTTTTCCCCTGTAGTTGCATGTGATGTTTAACTCCTTTTTTCTCTCCCTACCTGAACTTAGTTTGGAAATACTATTAGAAGTTACATGTCTCATGATATATGCAGCACTTTGCACACTAGTAAAATCTAATAAGTACTTGTTAAGTTGTTTGTGAGTTATTAGAATATTCACCATCCAGTAGAAGGTATGCTGCCTAGAGTAACAGATGATCGTAATATTCTCTTGGATGTAGGTAATAGTATAATAGTTCACTTAAATGTAACATATGTTAGAATTTAAAGAGTAATTTGTTCATATGTATTTTTTCTCTCTTTTTATTACACTGCTTTCCCAGCAAGGACAAGTTTGGAAGGTTTGCAAAGCTTTTCACCTTCCCTTTGCCCGCTTGCCCGCTTTCAGAATCGGTCTCATACTCCATGACTTCTGTCTCTACAGTCCACAACTCGGTCATAGAAATCAATGTGGAAAAGTTATTAAATGAGCTGTCATTCGAGTTCACTATGTTGCGTACAAACGCCTAGCATGTAATTCAGTTTTGCATGAGACACGAAACTCCTTTGCAAATCCCTACAAGGACTATAAAACTAAATGAATATTTGAGAGAAAATACAGTTTGAGCACAAATTTTGTCATGTAAGTAACGCTGCTTTTAGTATGTTTCTCCAAACTAAATGACATAGCATGGCTCGCTAGTCAGAGTAGTTGAGAAGTCATAGTGTGTCTGTCTGACAGCATGCACTGTAGCTGGCAAAAGTAGGTGCTTCGGCAGTCGCTTGTCCACAGAAGCTGTTCTGGTATGTCTAAGTTAAGAGACCTGACACTTAGTTGCGACTCCTGTTCACATAAAAATTTAATGAAATTTCTTGATTGCTGCTTTTAAAGCACAGCCTATGCTACTGTAGGAGTAAAGAAAATGAGCAAAACTTGAGTTCTTATTTAAGTAAATAGGATACTTTAGGCAAGTACTGGTGGCTTTATTGTGGGGTGGAAAATTGTCTTGCAGTTAACAATTTGAAGAAAAATTAAATGCAGATTGGTGGTGGGGCTTTTAGTTTTGTTTCACAAAGCATAGTTTAATCATTTAATATGCCCAGCACTGTCCTCCACAGATGATTACATGATTGAGTTTTCTAACAGTTTGTTAACTCCAGATGAATACAACACTACCTCAAACCAGGAATAGCATTAAAAGGAAACATTTTTTTTTCTCCTTCTTTTAGGATTGAGTTTTTTTCCTCACTGCTGTTCTGTACTAACTGCTTTGATACTTCCCATGCATCTTTTCCAGTAGAAGAGCATCTCTGTACTGTTTCCCATTGCATATTTCAGCTGTGACAGTCCCTGCACTTTGCCTTTCATTTTATCACCTGCTCACTAAAACCAAAATAAACAAAAAAAGAATCTTCCTAGTTTGTCTTCAGATTTGCAATTATCACTTAGCTTTAGATGGATGATTGTGTTTTTACTTCATTTTTTATTGTATTTTTTTATAGGCATGTGGTGACCCTAAAGCCAAACCATCCTATCTTATTGACAAAAACCTGGAATCTGCTGTCAAATTCATAGTCAGGAAGTTTCCAGCAGTAGAAACACGCAACAACAATGTAAGTAACCAAATGACTATATAAGTATTTTTCTCAATACCCTTCAGCACTTGTTGCTCAAATCTGTGAGGTTTTATGTGTTCTTACAAAGCATCTGATGCTGACAGTTGCAGTTGGAATATAGTTGTTGATTCATATGTCTGACAGGATAACTTTAAGAAGAACTGTCTCCAAACAGAGAATATTATACCATGTTTCTGGCTTGGTCTTGTTAGGGTAGACACTTTCTCGTTTTCTTTTTGCCTACTCTGTTCCATTCTTTTTCCAAGAATTGTCAATGGGAGGTAATCCTTGAAAAAATCATGCCTTGGATAGGAGAAATTCTTGATGATCAGACTGATTGCAGAAAATGGTAATTGCATAACTATTTGATTTGAGACCTGACCAGCAGATCAAGAAAAGATTGTAAAGTGAGAAAATGTGTTTGTACTTTATAAGTGCTTGTACCTTATGGGTGCCCTTGCCTATGGGGCCACTCACTGTGGGAATAAAGAATGCTTTAGTATGTAAGGCAAAACCTTGTTAAGTACAAAAATATGGAAATATAAATGTTTCCTCTTAAGATATAGTGAGTTCAGTTGCAGTAGGAAATTATTTTTCACCTGAGTGATCCAGTATTGCTAAATTTGACTTTGTGGCCTTTAAGAGATAATTACAATTATTGGATTACAGGTAGGTGTTTTGGCAGGTGATGTACACTTGTGTCTCTGTTTCAATTTGAAAGTCAAGGGAAAGATTTTTGGTTTACCTGCTTATATTCCTTTCAAAAGGAGGAAGGTGGAGGTAGGTGTTGGGTTTGCATGTTCCCTGCATGCTACTTGCATGTGTGCTTCAGAAGTTAAGGCTTGCTTTAAGCATTCAGGTTTCTGCAGAATGGTAGTGGTAATAGCAGTGGGAATAATTAGTTTCTTTTCCGGTGCTGTCTAAAATTTCTATGTAATGTCTCCTGTAATGCCAATGGAGGAAAAAAAAAAAAAGGAAAAAAAAACAAAATGTTCCCTTATGGAGGAAATAATTTCAGTAACGATGTACTTTCTCACTTTAAAACTTGCACATGTTTTGTATTGAATACTGCTCATCTTTGTATTAATTGTGTTAGTAACAAATATGGTAAATTATTTATTAAACATATGTAAAAATAGTAAACCCTTTAAACCATGTTTGGTAAATGCTTCTGTATTTGCTAAACTTCAGTGCCAGATCTACTATTGAAAGATTATGTACATAGAATTTTTTTAATGCGCTTGCATGTATGCTCTGTATGTCTTCCTGTAGTTGACTGAATTTGAAGCTTAACTAATGATAGATATTTAAGGATTTGGTGCTGTGAAGTTTATGGAAAGAGATCAAAGCTAACTTGATATATTTTGACAATCAGTTTCTAAACTAGGATGTGCTCATAATGTTTTGTTATTGCCTTGTATTTGTTTACCATGTGCTAGGCAGACCTGTGTTTATTAAGCACAGTTATCGAAAGTCTACCCTCCTTATGAATGAGCACAGTTTAAAGTAGGGATTGTGAGTTCTGTTAATAGGCAGCTGGGGTTTCCCTCCCTGCGGTCAGAGCCAGCAACAGTTTGCTTGTCTTAGTTTCACAGATGTTTTCCTCTAGTGTTGTATCTCAGAAAAGAAAACTTTACCTGTAACAGGTAACTAATGAGACAAAAGCCATGTGCAGAGAAAGTTCTAGTTTGATATAAGTTTTTGTTTATAAACGTGTCTAGCTCCTGGTCAGGAGGATGTTCCTCTCCTTGTTCTTACTTTGTCTCCCTCCTCCTGCTGGCCTACAGCCAGCTCACCATGTATTAGGAGGGCACACCAGTAGGTTTCTTCAGTAGGGAAACGGGTGATCGGAGATTTGAAAGGGCAAGAAGCTTGTTGGAACAGGGACACATTGGAGAGCAAATACTTGAGAAATCATAACCTGTGCTTCTTCCTTGCAGTGAAAATTCCAGGACAGCCTTTCATGTAGGGGTTTTGGATTTTTTATGTTCAACTGCAACAGCTGCCATTGTTTAGCAGTGTGTATCAGTAGAGTTAGTACCTATTGACATGTCAGTAGGTGATGCTGGCAAACAAGCTTGCATTCACTTAGAGAATAGGTAGTGCCTGCTTTGTCTGCTTGATTTTTCTTTTTTAATCTATTTTTAGCTGTTCATTTGGTTTTTTCTCAGATACCATCATTTACAGTTTTGTTTCTCAGGTGAAGAACATATTTTATTGAAAAGTATGAGCAGTGTCTCCTGTAATCAGATGATCTTGAAAAGCCTCTATTTGTATTCTTTTGAAATAATTGACTGTTATGTTTGCTGTTGATAGCTTTTACATCTTTATTCACAAAAAATACAGCTCGTGATTTTGTTCCTCGTTCAGTGTTTGATACGCTGAGTCAGACTAGAGCGATGTCTGACAATCGCTGTTTTTCAATATTGTACCAAGATTGAAAGTTTATGAGCAGTACAAACAATTAAGTGCTTGATGAATCCTTGCTGAGCAGGCTGAAAAATAAAATGGAGTAGTTCATCTTCTAAAGGATCGATGATAAATAAATCTGGACCTCATCAGTTCACAACTCTCTCCTGTTGTCTGAGGGCAGTCCCTGTGATCTCCCACACTTTCCCTTTCTTCTCCAATACCATAGTGAATCATATAACCTTGAAAATGTGCAGTTTGAAGTCTCGGCTCTTAAATCAATTGTGAATGATGTTGCCCAGCAGTGTTGTATTGCTTAATAATGTATGAAATACCTGCAAAGCAGGGAATGTATGTAAACAAAAAAATCGAAGGATTGAGAAAGTGAGAAACAAACATTTTAGTCCTATTTGAAAAAGAAACTATATAATGATAAAAAGTACCTATTTTCCATGTTTGGGAAGTGTTAGTATTTATTTTAACTTGATTAGAGCTTTGTTTTGAAAAAGGCTTCTAAGCTGGAGAAGCCTTCGCAAAAGCTTTATAGCACCATTGTTCTTGGCCAGGTCTGTGATCTTATTATGCTAGAATTGACTCAGGGTAACATTTATTTTTACTGAATTTCCTTGCCTAGCTTCAGAAGAAAAGTTCCAAAGGCATGCAGAAGCAGACTGATTTTTCCTAAGGTCTTTTAGACCTCATATAAGGTGTACCAGCAAGACTCTCACCAGAGAAATCAAAATATACCGAACTTCAAAGAAATGTAGCAGGACCTAAAAATTACTGTCTTCTCAGTCAATGCTAACATTTAATGCCATTGTAAAACTAGAATAAAATACTTCATGATGGGGAACTGGATGTGCAGGGACAAAATACGTAGATTTTGTGTAGATTGTGGGTAGGATCTGAAAAATCTGCTGCCTGATAGGTAAAGCTCTGTGTGTGATGGAGCTAGCCTTCTTTCTGCTTTCCAAAACACCACATATGGGAAGTAGTGAGAATATCTGCCTTCCTTCTTGAACATATGTTTTTCTTTTACTCAGATTGCTCCTCAGCAATTTCCTTGTAGAAAAACTTCCTATATTTTAAAATGTTTCCTGGAGGAGTTGAGGCTTAGTCATTGCTTAGCGGCGAGCAGACCAGCAAAACATCACTCAGAAGTTTGTAAGTGTATTGTTAGTGGGAGAAAGGTCTTGTGTTTTCCAGATACTGTTAATCTTCATCTTTCAGTAGCTATCTTCCCAGTATTGTTCACATCAATTCCATTGTGTTTTGTATTGACTATACATTCAATGTCTTGCTGATAGTATTTTGAGGGTTTATTTACCTGTTTTAACTGTAATAATCTTCTGCTGTATTGTGTCGGTGGGGACTGGAAATAAGGTCATAGGAGAGTAGAGTACAAGCAGTGTGAGCATTTCCCGCCTCCCTGGATTAGGACCTGGAGATATGAATTTGTTCACTTTTCATTGTATTTCATTTTTCTTCATAGCTGTGTTGGCTTTTTCCTGTTAGATCCCAGTATGTATGTTTGGTCTGCTTACTGTGTCTTTCACAGTTTCTCTTCATAGTGAGTTGGTTGCATAGCAAGTTTAGCTGGATGTGGGAGAGGTGGTATGGGCAGAGAGTGGCTGGACCTTCTTGGCCAGAGCTTTTTAGATGTGAATGCATGCTTTTATTGAATGCTTTCTTCTATAATAAAGTTATAGAAGTATACACTTTATAACCAACCTTGATTTGACATAGGTGCTTCCAATTATTAGTCTTTTTCAAAGTATTTAACCAAATGCAGATAATTATTTGCTTTTCAAAGTACTACTTTCAGCCCCTTCAGGGGGTACAGTGCCTAAAGGAAAATGTAATTTGTTTATTTGTTTCTAATGAACCTTTTAATATTGTAATTTTCACAGTGCTAGTGAAGATAATATAGGAATTTGTTTCTGAGGAAAAATAACTTTGGGGAGGCAGCCATGCTGCCTCATGTGGTAATTCTTTTTCACTAAGAAAGTTAAAGTCATTTATTTTTGAGGAAATTGTATGGTAATTAACACATATGGCAGCTGGCTTCTTAAGAGTAATATTATTTTCCAGCTTTCTGGAATGTTGTATCTCTTGTGCGGGAGGGACACTTGGTTTTTCAAGTAACTTACTGATTTCTTAAGCAATAAAAATTCAGCTCCCCATATTCCTCCATAAAACTAACTGGCCTCCTGGACATGAAGACTAAAATCCTTCCCAAGTGAGAGGATGCTGTGCTTTTCTTGCACAGCCACCTGCTCTACTCTGCTACTGCTCAAGGAACTTAGAGTGGTGAAAAGACCACAAATGAGACTGATTTTCCAGAACTTGCTGAAGTAGTAGTTCACTTCGTGGGAGTTACTAGTGCATGAGTAAAGCCAGCCCAATGAGTAACTAGTTTCTGTTCAGCTTTGTATGAGCAGTTGGGATTTCCTATGCTTGAGAACAGGGTATACTAATGATAGTTTATTTCTGCAAAATATCTGCAAATAATAAAATTCTTATCTACATTGTTACTAAAAAATCATTCAGAATTGAAATTGCTCCACTAATGCTGTGTGCTCATACAA